TTACCTATATTTATCTTTAACAATTCTTAGTTTTCTTCAGAGTTCATGAGCGATCTTACAATAGAAGTCAACGGGGAATTTATTTACGTTCATAAAAGCATTCTGAAAATGCGTTCTTTATATTTCAAAAACATGTTCGCGTTTAATGAGGTAGAAAACAGAAAAAGGTATCATTTATGAAAACACTATACAGAATTTTTATTAAAATTTTTTATGTTTGATTCGTGTGTTGTACTTTAACATCTTTTTTGGAACAGGGTTATCGAATATGATGATTATCCATATAGTACCTATAGAAAGTTTTTTAAGTTTTTTTACACAGGCTGGGTCTACTCTGATTATATAAACCAGATGATAGGTGAGTGTTAAATACACATTGATACTGTCTTTAATCTTTCATAGTGTCATACTGGGGTCAAAATGACTCTAGAGTGCACCAATATTTTTTTTTGTTTTATGAAACGAAAACTGAATACAGCAGTCATTTAAATGCACTTGGAAGTCATTTTGATTTTGTATGATCATTACTGAACTTTTAATAAGTATGATCTCGAAGGGTTAATTCGTAATTAAAATGAATTTTTTATTATACAGAGCTCTTGATATTAGCTGATAAATTCTGCGTCACAAATCTTGAGAAAGAATGTATTAAGTATTTAAAAATCCATATGAAACCATCAACCGTGTCCTACATCAAGGAAATGGCGATAAAATATAACAAAGCGGTAGCTGTATATTATTTTTTTTTCTATTATTTTTTTTTCAAGATAGAGATTATAATTTATGATGAACTTGATATGTTGATCCAATTGAATTTTAATTCTTTATATTTATGTTTCTTCTATACCTTTTTTATTCCTGTTTTGTTACATAGTAGAATGTATCTTTTTATTGAAATTTCTTAAGAAAATGTGATCATATTGTGTATGAAGTGATAGGACCACTAATAGAATCTGAACTTATGCCACTGCTCTACTATATCTAATCAGTTGGGCACTTCCACATTAAGTAAATGAAAAAGATTTATATAAAACATGCGATGAAACTTAAAAATCGTCAAGATGTATCGAATGTTCTTAACTGTTTCACGTCTAAGAATGTAATAAACAAGATGTTTTTAAGATAGATACTGAAAGGACATAGAACGATGTTGTTATTATGTAAGTTGAATCTAAATTTATTTATATTTATTATGAAAGTCGTTATATGTTCATTGTACGATGTTTGTGCTTTTCTTACTTTCCGACTGGATAGAAGATATTCTTTGTAATGTATGAATAAATATATATATATATATATATATATATTTATTCATACATTACAAAGAATATCTTCTATCCAGTCGGAAAGTAAGAAAAGCACAAACATCGTACAATGAACATATAACGACTTTCATAATAAATATAAATAAATTTAGATTCAACTTACATAATAACAACATCGTTCTATGTCCTTTCAGTATCTATCTTAAAAACATCTTGTTTATTACATTCTTAGACGTGAAACAGTTAAGAACATTCGATACATCTTGACGATTTTTAAGTGTCCTCACAACATGTTTCATATAAATCTTTTTTATTTACTCAATAATATATTTAACTGCAGTGTTATATGAGATTGAGGTAAGCACTTTTTGTACAATTTCAATGTTAACATTACATAATTCTGACTCTTAATAATTTTATTATAACGCAATCACTTGTTAACCGAGAAGATAGACTTCTTTGTATATACTACTTTGTGCTTTTCTCACTTTCCGACTGAATAAAAAATATTCTTTGTTAATGTATTAATTATTATATAATAATTACTGAAGATAGCTGAAACATTCAAACTAACATCTTTTAATACATCTTTTATACTATTAATGATTATATAAGTGTAGATTGCGCACCTCTTATCGCGCTGACTCCAAAGTAATCCTCTTAAATCTATATTATATACATTTTGTTTTTAAGAACTGTATCTTGCTTACACTTTCTGTAGGAAAAAAATTGTGTGTGTGTGTGTGTGTGTGTGTGTGTGTGTGTGAAATTTCTAAAATCAAATATTTTTTGTATTCGAATTGGAAACAAGAAGGAGACATTCTAAGCTTTAAAATATTAAAAAAAGCAAATATTAATGCAAAACAATACTCTTTATGAGATAACGGATTTGTTAAATCATTTTTATCAATTAGATCTCTCTCGAGAGAAATCCTGAATACGCCCGTGATCATTTTTGATACTAAAATTCATTAACTGTAAAAAATATATGTTTGTATACTTATTTATTTATGTGTCGTATAATTTTCAGGAATTGGAGCAATACTGTGATGCCTATGAATTAAGAGAGGCATATGATCCTACGCAGATAATCCTTTAAATACGAAATAATAAATAATATTTCTATTTCTTTAAACCATTCTTATCCCTTTATGAAATTTTGTGAACACATTTTATAAATTAAGTTGTGTCATTGTACGTTTTACTTCTAAACATTATTTGTAAATTTTTCATAAGTCGCCCTTAAGAATAATCGTAGGTTTTTTTCATCCTTATGGATATATATAAAAAAAAATGTAAAAGTTTGAAAAAGGTTTTTTCTAATATAAAATTAAATATATTTCGAATTCTTAATATTTTTTTTAGTAATAAACAATATAAAGTTTTTATTGGTATAGTTATTTATCTTAAAAATAGTAAATTATATTTGACAAATTGAGTTTTCATGGATCCGACGTACATATTAGGATATATCAGAGTTATCTATGCTTCGAAACTGTGGCTTGTTAAATATCGTCGAATTGCGATTGCTTCATTCATCGATGCGATTTGTATACTTTTGCAATTTGAATTATATTTGAATTCTCAAGCACAAGAGTCGATTTAAAGAATCTATCGTCTATCTAATATCACTTCCGCGAAATCTCATGCAATTTGACTTTATAAACAGGACATACTCGTACAGTGGGTGTTTTCTGCATTGCCTTAGGCAAATTGGTTACGTTTGATAAAAAATCGCGGCCAATCGATACTATGTGAAGCATTAAGGCGTTCGTCTCTATTTAAAAAAGGCCTGACTTGAAAAAAAAAACCGACGCTGTGTGTGAGTCATCGGGCACCATTAAGCACCGCACAGGTTACGATATCAATGACTTACATCGTTCCGTATTACAGGCCGTGAGTATAAGGCCAAAGTATCCTCATACTTCCGGTCCGCACGCGACTTATGCACGTGAAGGCACGTGGCGTAAATCGAGGTGTTTACGTACACACATACGTGCCAAGAAATGCACATGCGTGTGCCCGCGTTGCTCTTTGATGGAATGGACATGCCTTGTCGACACTCTTCGGTATCCGTATTTTTTTTTGTTGCATAAGATCGCTATTTGTGTCGTACGAAATATAACGCCATTAGCCGAGATAGGACGCAAAATTATCTGATCGCAGATTTGAGCAGAACATACACGGGAGAACAAATATTTGGGATTTTTTTCGCGGATAGAAGGAATCCTAATTGTTATAAAATAAATAAAATCCTAATTGATATTTGACCTGAAATTTCCTTAATTGATATTTTCGGGGCCAATGTAACAATAATAATTATTATTACAATTATAATTATTGCTTCATTAAATGTAATATAGCTTACAATGTTATTCGAACTTTATTTAAGTAAACTTTAATATACCTTCGCTAAAGTTAACATGATTGGACAATTTTGTATTTTAAAGATTAAAATCTGAGAAATAAAATTATGTGACTTATGTAATGTTGGGAAAAACATTTGTTATAAAGAATTTTTCACAGCATAATTGAAAAAAGTCCACTGGACTCGTGAATATTCATAAAAAAAACGTCAGATTTATATACGTTATTTACACATATTAAATTAAAAATAAAATTCATATGATATGTGATTAATTCTTGTGCTTTGCGATTTTGAAGCGATCGCCACATCGGTGTCTGGTGGGCTTCGACCGGCGAAAGCCCAGTACTTTCTATCGGCAAATATTTATTCATAATTTCGTTTCGATCATGCATATATACGCGCGTTGATGTTGAGTGGATTTAGCCGCTGGTCAGTCCATCTTCTGGACAAACAACGCCGCGCGCGGAAGGGAAGAAGGACACCTCCGTCCCAACGTCATACCAAACGCACGCACACGAGCGGTGTCCCCATGCGTAAAGCAAACACGCATAAAATTACGTATTTGTAGCTCTCCCGTACCAGTCGGCGGGCGAGCGGGTGTATTCTTAGAAAAACATGAGGCACGATTGATATGGGATGGACCGCCGCGAATATTTGCCCGGCCGCGGTCGATCGCGATTGCAACAATATTAGAATTTCCGCAACAACCCCGAAGTTCTTTCTCTTTCTCTCTCTCTCTCTCTCTCTCTCTCTCTCTCTCTCTCTCTCTTTCATTTTTGTATTTTCCCCTTGCAATTATTTGTGGAGAAAGAATGACGCAGGAGAATCCGCAATTGACTCTACTGATTTCTATAAAAACTTGCAATTATTTTGCAACGTATTTTTTAAATACATCTTCTAAAATATGTATTGATTAATAGAAGATTTATTTCTTAGTATTTTTTGTGAAAATTTTTTAAATTCAATTTAAAGGCATTTTAATAAGTAATTCATACTCAAAACTTAATTATTTTTTAATTAAAAAAAATTTATTTTTCTAACATGTATATCTGATATCAGAAGAGATCAGATCATCTCCAAAAGAGCGAATCTCACTCCAAAGGATTTAAAGAATACATGCTTAACGTGAGTGAACTTTTCCGCAACTTGCGTCTCGCGGAAACGAGATAGGCCGGATGGGCTGATTTTTGCTGGACAAAAGTTAACGACGTGTCGGCCAAAGCAGTGGTCAGTCACTCCCCCGATCGATTGGCAACTTGACCGGCCACCACCGACAGTTGGCGGCTACCGACAATCGTCCGATAATTGGCAGACATTGTCCCGCGCACACGGCCGACCAGGAGCTGAACGGAGGACTGTCCTTCGCTTTACGATTTGTTGATCGTGACGCGGACTGATCGGAAATATGAATTTATCACCGATCACGTTACACCAGCGAGATGACGGCCGAGCGGTGTAATCGATTATGAGGAGGCGTTTGCATTTGCGGTCCACTCGTTCCTCCTGATGTTTGCCCTCGTAAATCTGCCGCGATGACTGGATGTTGTACCGCCGTAATATGAAATTGAGAAAATCCCCGAATGGGGATTATCGTGGAAATTACGTCATGCGTATGTCTATTATTTCATAAACTTGAATTAATTCTGTATGTAATTAATGGATACTTTAATAACGTTTTTTCATCAAGCTTGTTTTTTCATTGCAGCTTGTTACATTAAAAAAATGTATTTTAATAATACTAACTCGCATAATACTAACTAAATATTTATTAAATTTAAACATATATTTATTTGGTATAAAATTATTAATTTGATTTTTGAAGTTTTTTTCAATAAGTAAAATTTACTGTAAGTAAATGTTTAGTACTATTTAAATAAATATTTATTAAAATATTTATTTTTTTTTTTTTTAGTGTACTCGTTACATTATTTGTTACGAGATGTGTATTATTTACGTAAATATATATAAACTTTATATAAACTTATTCCGTTAGTATTATAAATTTTGATTTATTTCTTGTCGTAGACGTTCCACTCTGTTATGTAATTCATTTATTATGAATTTAATTTATAAGCCAAAGAAAATTACATTTTTTCTTGTGTATTCAAAAGATAGAAATAGATATTTTAAAAAGAATTTTTCCTCAATATTAATTGATTAACTGATTAAATTTTTATCGTTAAAATCTTTATATCGATTAATTTCATTTAGTTGAATTGACACGCGTATAATAAGATTGTACAACACGAGCTGGACATCTTTGTATCCCAATTAAGAGCACATAGGGTGGCGGGATTCTCCTGATTTTGTCGAATCACGAGCCAGTACCATCTGTGTCCTTTGCGCCTTTTGAAAGATCGATTTGCCACCAGCAAGTCACATTCGCACTTAACATTAAATTAATCGATTTCGATTATCCCGCTATTGATTTTACGATGAGATTTCGCTAAATCAAGATATCCCCCTTAACGTCCCAGAAAACATAAATCATAATAAGATGAATACATTACAAGTAGATATCATTTTAGAAAAATCGTAATGCCACTTGATACACTTTTGGCGATAATTTTATGATGAATTCTTAACATGATAATAATTTTTAATGATTTTTTAAATTATAAAATATATCGAATGCCATCATTATGATTTTTCCTAAAATGATTTATACTTGACGTTATATTGGACTTTATTATCATTTTCTAACTTTTTTAACTAAATTTTTTTAACTAAAAAATTACTTAAATATTAATGTTATATCAAGAATTCATCACAAATCATTGTATAAAATAATATTATTATAATTTTTCCTAAAATGACTTGATGATCATCCTGATCTCATGATAATTTTGTGTTCTCTGTGTTTGATCTTTACAGTAATCAACGAAAATAAATTAATGCTCTTGGCAAAAGTTCTTGTTTTACACGAGTTGAATTTGCTGTTGAATTTTTGAAATACGTATCGGAGTACCTAACGTGTGAGTAATCATTCAATATATTACCAGGACGAAGTACTGTACATAAATTACTTTTTTCAAAGCGACTTTACGGTGCATTTGCTATCATTTTCCTAAGTTCTCATCGTAATAAAAAAAAAACCGCTCGCTTTTTCCGTTTTAGAAAAAAAAAACTGCATTTTGGGGAAAATAACGCAATACTCTCGAGCGGCGTGTGATTGAATTTAAATGCGCACACCCTAAAATTACATCCCTATTTGAAAGTCGTCCCCAATCGTCATGGCGATTCGCCGCGGTCCAAGGCGGTTCAATTGCTAGACAAGTGCACGATTCGATATTACGCTCGTATATTAAAACAATTTTTTCGACTGCGGCTTTAAAAGGCGACAGCTGTCAGTCCGGTTTGCGGAGAACTTCTCTGATTTTTTTTTTCAACACATTACAATAAAACCTCGGCGAATAATGCGTATACGTATGAGAGATTCGCAAGTGATCGCACTTCGAATTTTAGGCCGAAACGAATGTAAAAACAAAGCTTCATGGCACACGATATCTATCATTATTCTATTCCTTTATTATTAATTAATTTTATTAATTAAGTGATTCTATTTTATTTATGTATTTTTCCTAGACAACACATTGAGATATAAGATGTCTTGAAGATGTCTTAAGTCTCTCTTTTGGATACTTTGTGTTGTCTGGGTTATTATAGGAAAATTCAACATTGTTTATTATTATTATCGTTAAAGTATCTACGATCGATTGGATTAATTTATTATCATTTGCATTAATTTTTATTAATTTAATATTGTTAATTAACTAATTTTATTTTCTTAATTTATTTATATTATTATACATATAAAGAGCAATTTACGTCATATTATTTATTATCGTTTATTATCATATTAAAGTG